GTCAACTAGAATTGATAGTACAATGTGCACGTTTTGAATATGCTTATAAAGCGAATCAACTTTATACCTAAGCATATATATAGATGCATATATATATATATACATGCATGAGGCCATTGCCCACCTTAATATGATTGTGAATTGTGATGGAAGAAGGAATAAACTAACGCGGTATGAAACAAATGAAATAAATTTTTTTGTTTTTTCTTTTTTTTGATTTTTTTTTTTTTTTCATTTTATTATAAAAAATGGTGGACTAATCGCAATTTAATTACAATATGCTTTCATATCAAAATACATATTTATGCGCATACATATAACCGCATGTTAAACAAAAATGTATGAGACTTCAACAATGACAGCAACAAATTCGATGGAAACGAAAGGCAAACTCCACTCTACTACTCTTTCTAATTTTTATACATATACTCTTTGAGACGTTGTAGTTGGGTTTCACTTTGATGGACTATTTTCCTACTCATGCAGACTTAACCAAAAAACCGTAATTTGTTTGATGCGTGAGTAGTTTGGCGAGTGACCATTTTCTTCTACCATTACTATCACTACCACTACCACATGCTCTACCACTATACACTCGCACATTATATGCATTGAGACTTAAATGATTCTTCGGTGTAATACTTTACGTTGTTTAATGTATTTAAAGTAATTTTTCATTAAATACCGTTTGGTTAGCATGTGTACTCGTTCATCAGTAATAATCGTCAGCTAAAAGAAAACAAAAAAACAAAAAAAATCTCATATACTTTCATATCACATAAACACGCGTACAGACGCAAATATCATTTTAATCAAAATCATTTATGAATTTTCGAAACTATGCATAAATGAGAAATGAGTGAGTGTGCGTTAAAAAGTTTTGTTTATCTAAAGGCGCCTTATACCTCAATCCAAGGGTGTCCAAAGCGTTATTGCGTTGGGCTATTTAGTGTATACAAACGCTAATCATGAAACGCTCAAAATTGCATTTTCGAGATTCATTACTCTTGTCGTTTGATTTGTAGAAATCTGCTCCCGAAGCTTATGGCGATGCTGCTCGGTTTTAGTTTCAGCATTTTGAAAGTAGTTGCGTCGATGTCAATAACAAAGAACGTTTTGGAGGACAAAAGCCGCCAAACTAATTGGATGAACATCCAGCTTAAATTCTCACAACAACTGTCGAACAAACGCAAAGTCATCCCCTGGCATGACAATGTTCGGCGACGCGTTGCAAGAGCCGTCATGAATACACTGTTGCGGTTCGAATGGGAAGCTCTGCAGCAACCAGCGTGCTTACGAAGCATAGCGCCTTTTGTCGACCACTTGTTCAAATCGATGTAGCATGGCTTGGCTGGTGCTTGGTTTCAAAATTCTGAAGAAGTGCAAAAATGGGTCGATGATCGCTCCCAAGCCAATATCGTTCTTTCGACACGGTAACACCACGGTGCCAGGACGATAGAAAATATTTTGGAAAAAATTTATCCCTTGTTATCATGATAGTTGACGGCAGTGGATTCATTGCGTATTCCCTTCCAGTTTGAGAGCACGATTAGGTCGCTATAATCTGTGACAACTGGTGAAGAACATTGCCAGCCCAATTTGGGGCAAATTGAAAGAGCAGAACACCTCGAACGATCGAATTATGCAGACCCCTTTTATATAGGTCTTAATGAACACTTACTTATGTTTGCGAAATAGGGCCGAAGAGTGGACACTCTTGCCTTAACTGTATAGTTATCATAATGTATTCAAATGTGTTTATACAAATAGACGAATGCTTGCTTAGATGTTTGGATTGGTTGGTTGGTTGGCCGTTTGGTTACTTGTTGTGTACTTTGCTTTTTGAATAGATGTGAATGGTTATTGTTTGTTTGTATCCACTGTGGTCAGGCTTTAAGTCAAGTCATTAAAAACTAATTTTGTTTATAAAACTTCTCTTCGCCCCTTTTTTTCTTTTAAAGTTTGGGGGGGCTATGGTTTATCTATTCCATTCAACTGTGGTCAGCAATTTTGAATTCAAGGTGTAAAACTCATATTTATGATGTTTTCTTAAGATTCTTTATTTTAGACTTTACGTAATTTATCAACTGTATTTAACTGTTATGGGGATAGTGTGCTATGGCTCATAAAAGCCGCAGAAATATACACAAACAAATATATATACATAGAGCCGCGTGCACACATAGCACCATGGGAGATCGCCTTTAAGCATTTAAGCGTAAAACTACATAAAAAGCAAATCATAGACCAAAACCTAAAATCAAAACACGCGCACACCTATATGTGCGTACACACACAAATAAATAAAGCTACAAAAAGATACGAGAAAAGAAAAACGTTGCCAGAAATGCCATTTATTCCATCAACCAATGATTAAATATGGCCGCCTTAGGTTGTAGACATGGACATGGCATCAGCATCATGTCTTCAGCATCAAAAAACAAAAAAAAAACAAAAAAAAAGCAAAAAAAATATAAGGGAATGAAAATACTAATAATGCTCGACTTGAGTCGAATTTCGTGAGCCCATCATTCCATAGCTCCTTTCGTTTATCGCATGAGAATGTTGATAACCTAGAAATAGTGGAACACTTTTCCCCCGTTTACTGACGCATTGTGAGATTTGATGACGTTATTTTTATTTAATGACTCAGGTTCTCGAGGTATTAATGAATTCGTCGAGCATAGATAATCGTTTTTTAAGTAACTTCATTCATCAGATGTTGAACTAAAGAAACACTTGTTAAGTGACAGCTAAGGATTATGTGACAGTCTCTTCATCAATTCGAATTGTTAAATGTTTAGAAAATCGGTCATTATTGCTATTTTATTTTTAAAATGAGCAATCACTCAGGGAATGGCCGCCATACGTACAGCACGGCAATGGTCAGAAAGAAATCAGGCGAGAGAAAGACAAAGGGAGTGGTAGTCTATTGGTAAGCGTTATATACCTTCGACCAAAACAAAGCTCTAATCGCCTTGAGATTTGAAGCCGCGAATACCGGGAGTCATTAATTTTTCGCCTCTACTTGGTATGAGAAAGAAGATCTTGGAAATAATTACTCTGTGATGCTCGTAACCCATTGTCTTTTTGACATTTAAAGTTTCTTCAGAGTTAACTGTGGCCACAATTGCACCCGTTAAGCCCAAGGTATACATTAAATCTATGTTCAGTCAACAAAAGTCGCATTGTCAACGGTAGGTTTGCCTTGAAGGAATATTCAGAAAATGCTCTTTTCTTTTTTTCACTCAATAACCCACCGGTCTGACATATATATATGACAACACTGTTGAAAGTGATTTCTGAATAGCACCAACCTTCAGACGATATGTATCAAAATTTGATGACATTCTGATAATTAACCTGCAAGTTATAGCTCATTTAATAACGTTACTTCCGGAGGTTATCAAGGTAATGGAAAAATCTGAATTTTGATGAGAAAGAAAACGTTTACAGTTACCATTGGCTTGAAAATGATACAGGGCTTGTTGTGAGGGAAGCGCTATAAAGAAGATATGTCGGCTGTTTTAGTGGGTTACAAAGCGCATTCCATAACTTCCACAAGTCATTTTTAAGCCAGAGGGCTTTATATATGCCAACCTTGCATATTTTAGGGAAAAACGCTTCCTATTCTAAGTCAATGACAACACGACACTAACTAAACGCACATCATAAAAAGGGACATAACTAAATGAAATTATGAAAGAAAGAAAAAAAAAGCAGTAGGTGGTGACTATGGCAATATAATGATAGCAAAGGGGAAAAATCTGGAAACAGCCAAAATTCAATCCAGGAATCAAGCAAATCCGAATATAATTATTTCCTGGGACTAAGACTTATACGTAAACGAAAATGATTAAAACTTTCTTCCATTCGCAGAGCATAAGTGCATAGGTATAGGTATAGGTATGCTTATCTATTTGCTTATCTCAAAGCGATCCTTTTACTTGTTTGGTTAATTAATTACCAGACTTTAGATCAAGCAAAAAAAAAAGAAGAAGAGAAAGTCTTAGAATTCCACTGCATTATAGAATTTTCGTTTGCACGTGTATTCGCTTTTAAATAATTTAAACTAAAAACACAATATTTAAAGGAATTAAACGTATACCTGGCGACACTTGCATTCCAAACTTGATCGATCGCCGTTGTCTAATGTTTGTGCAAAGCGCATTCATTTCATAGAAACATAAACAGGAAACCCAAAAACAAAAAATGAAAAGAAAAAGGAAAAGAAGAAAGAAAGCAGAAATTGTTTTTTGATACATATGTGTTTAAGTATACGCTGTGATATACAAAGTGAAAATTTTTACATTTGTAAGAAATTAAAGGAAAAAGAGATGCGTTCTTAATGCTGTTATAAATGCCGATGTGTGTTTAAGCCTCTTGATAAATGCTTTAAAGCAGTGCGCATAATTAGTTAACTTTTTGGCCAACAGAGTATCTCGTAAAGATATTTTCTGAATTTTTATTCATCCCTCTCTCCCTTTCTCTCTTTTTTTTCTTGCTCTTTCGCTCTATCATTCTGTATGCGTTTTTGTTTTTTTTGTGTGATGATCATTGCATGGCCGGGTGTACTTCTGATGGTGCCTGGGTAAGTTTTGTTTTGTCGACGTTGTCGACTGATAATACCATACGAGATCCCATTTCGGTTTATAAAACGCAACAGACAAATCCATGCATGGCATCCAAACCAAAAAAAAAAAATAAAAAATAAAAAAAAAAGAAGAAAACCAAACACACATGTAGAGATTTTGACAAGTACAAATATGCTGGGATATGCATACAAAGGTCGTCTTTTTGATGTTGATTTCATATATATTTTCGTTTTTATTGTTGCTGTTGTTGTTGTTGTTATATTGTTTTTCGTATACGTTTGTAGACTTTGTTTATTTGTAGCTCGTCATTTTTGTTTCTCTTTTTTTATTTGGTAAATTTTATTAATAGTAAATTATTTTAATTCTTGTTTTTATCCTTTTTTTTTTAAATTTTTCTCACAACAGAACGTAAACGTGGTCGTCAAACATATACACGCTATCAGACGTTGGAATTGGAAAAAGAATTCCATTTTAATCGCTATCTAACGCGTCGAAGGCGTATTGAAATTGCTCATGCATTGTGTTTAACTGAAAGGCAAATTAAGATTTGGTTCCAGAATCGACGCATGAAATGGAAAAAGGAAAATAAGACCAAAGGGGAACCAGGTTCTGGCGGCGAAGGTGATGACATTACTCCACCAAATAGTCCACAATAAGTACAATCGATCAACACGCCCGTACTTCAGCGCATTACTCCTCATCCCATCTCTCTCTCTCTCTCTCTCTCTATCTCATTCTCTCTCTATCTGTCTCAACCCTCCAACAAGCTGGTTTAACAATAGACAAAATTGAAGAAAATAAATATTATTACTTTTCTTCTTCTTCTTTTTTTTTATGTTATGAAGCAACCTATGTTAACACACAATACTGTATGCTTTTGTTTTGGGAAAAGAAAAAAATAAAGAAGGAAATTAATTAATGGTTAAGAGAAAAAAATTAATTATTAATGAAAGCTATGTTCAGTTATCTCCGTAAATGCTAGAGCAAGAGTTCTTTTCAAAAAAAAACAAAAACGTCCTATTTCGATACCTTTCCACAGACGAGAGTTATTTTCGCAAAAAAAAAAAAAAAAAAAACTATGAAGAGATTGTTGGGTTCCACTTGCAAAGATTATTACCTTCTCAGACATCATGCATAACATTGGGAGTTTTGTTCACAGAAAGACTTTGTACTTCGAGTACATGTTCGAGATTTCTTCTCCATCGTTGGTTACCCTTCTGGGCATCGTAAACAATATAAAAGTTCTATTTACCAAATTGCGCATTTAATATTCTGTCCACTCCTCCCTATCCTACTTGTATTGATTCGAAAATGCTTGTATTTTCAGGCCCTTACATCAAATTATGTTCTTCTCTTGGGGGAAATCAAATTTTCAAAATATTTGTTTTTTTTTTTTTAAATTTGATATCAAAAATTTAAAATCACTGTCTTGCGCAAAGATGTTAACATCTTCCCTTTCGTTATGTGACGATGACAAAGATAAACGGAAATGAATGAAAATAACGAATGGGTACCGATAGTTATGCGTACATAAATCTCTTAAGACTCTTGTTTTATTATTAGTTTTCATTTGAATTTTTATGAATAATTGAATAAAAATTTTAAATGAAAAAAAAGAAAAAAAAAAAAATCAACAAAACCAACTCATGTGACCTCAAATCTTAATAAGTTATTTAATGCAAAATATAAAAAAAATAAAAGCAAAACTATTAAAAAAAAAAAAATAATAATAATAATAATAAATTAATAACTACATAGAATAAAAAAAAAAAAAAAATATTTAAATCTTAAGTAAAATTGTAAAAATACAAGAAAAAATATATTGCAATGTAAATTAATTTATGGAAAATCTTAAATAAATAAAACACGAATCAAATGGTGTAAAAAATGTCTAAATACCTATATAACGATAGTTATAAGAAAGTGAAAGAGGAAATTGCATGAACAATCCCATAAGGAAAATACTCGACGTTGATTGAAAGACATGCAATATCTACAAAAAATTTAAGAGACAAAGATATACCAAACAATATACACATAAAATAATAAAATTAATTAAAAAAAGAAAAAAAAAAAACAAAAACACTTAAAATTAAAAATAATTATATTTTTACTGAAATGAAACAAATGCGATAGTACAGAAAATAAATTATTTGTATAGAAAATTAAATGTAATAATAATAATAATAATAATGATAACATTTCTAGATAAAAGAAAACCGATGAAAATTCAAAGTTAGAAAAAATTTATGCAACCGAAAAAAGTTTTTCCAAATTTCCTTAAAAACAAAAAAAAAAAAACTATATTCACCTTAAAGAGTGACTTTTGAATACCTAGGTTTTCGCGCTTCTATATAACGAAAGTATAAAATGAATGCAGAGAAAGTAGGAAATTTTAGGTCTACGGGCATATATTTACCCGGAAGTTTTAAAAGTTTATAGAAGAAGAAATAATCGAATAAACTTCATATCAGCTTCGATATCAGCTCAAGTCTGGAGAGCTTTAAGGGAAAGGTTGTACGAAGTAATCTTCTTTTATTTAGTGTTTGTTGATATTTTGATCCATGAGTTCACTATCGCTCAGCATCTGTCAAAATACACATTTGCCCAAGTCATCCCAATATTTTATGCCTTAAAGATTCCAATAATATGCGGGTAGATGGGAGCAACTGGCTAAATTGATATCTCGATTGATTGATCGAACTAAAAACATGAATTGACCAATAAAGCCCACCTATCTGCCTTTAGTTCTTTGTTAAATTTTTTGTGATCACAAAATTTTTTGAAGTAAACCGATCCCTTAAACTAAATCGAGCAGATATTTGAATTATTTCTAAAAAAATTCGTAAACACTTTTAGATTTAAATCCCAAGTTTTCTGCACGAAAGGGTATCTATGCAGAATTGTTGTTCTCCTATTTGCAACAAATATTCTCCAGCGACTTTTAAAGTACATAAAAGCATAGAGGTGATCAGAGCGGGGTTTTAAGTCAATTTCATCATATGTACGGCAAACCAGTTATCTGCCCGCTTGTCCCGCGTTACTTATCACAGGAGCAGGGATAGAAACTGGCTCCGTTCGGTTTTAAGATATACCGATTTAACGCGTACCCTCAGCGCTTGAAAAAGTGTCTGAAAAGCAAAAGCAAATATTCATCTGGGAGTTAAAGCAAATATTTACCAAGGGAATCTCATTGTTTCCGCTAAAAGCAATCGCAATCGGTCATCCGACTCTTTCTTTAGAAGTTATTGAACCCGCAGGTTAGATCTATTCATACATACTTACTTTTGTACCGCCGATTATCAAGTAGATGAATATGGTCCCTAATTAGGTACGTCAAAGATACCAATCGATGGGATGTCATTGCTAATTGCAGCGTCTACGCAGCCAACTAAATTTGCAATCAAAATTGAAGCAGTCAGGACATACACGTTTTCTTTTATAGTGAGTTTCTAATTAAGAAAATCTAATAGAAAGCAAGGGGATTATATCTGCAAAGCTGAGAGAAATAATGCTTTAACATGTTCATCATGTATATACAAGAGGCAGTACACGTGTGTGTATAGTGAAGTGTATATATTCCTGCTAAGCTTAAATTTCTGGGTTAAATAAACCACGGATCTCCTTGTCTGTCGTTAAAACAAGTGCTTTTTTGATTCTCTTACCCAAATCATGTTTAAAAACAGTTGCGATACGCTATTAACAACTGTTAAAATATGAAAAATATTTCAAAGCTTTTAGCATTTTTAAGATAAAGATAGATTTTTTCTTGAGGTCGTGTTGAACAGCTGACAGCATCTTGTGATAGTGGTCATCGGCCACTATCTGTCTTCTCATCTATCTGTACCAGTAAAGAATTGAGTTAAATTAAGCGAAAGCACCATAGTGTAGGCTACCACCCAACATTAAATACGCGGTTATGCCAGTTATTCATATTAAAAAATAAGGCATTATGTAGGAAGTGGTCGAAAATGTGGTCTGATTCGAATCACTTTCAATAGAGTTCGCCCGTGGTCCAAACGTTGTCGCTGCAGCGAATTTCTTTACAATATCTCAAAAATTGCGACCCCTAAGTCGAACACAAGAACGTAAAGTGGACAGACGGACAGACAGATTTAAACAGAATCACTTTTTGAATCGACTAGTATAATAAAAGTTGTGGCTATCGCTTTTCTAGTGGTTGTATATATCCGCGCAAACGGTATCCAACTCGTTTAATTTATTAAATCTTCCCAGGCTGGTTAGCTTTAAGGTGAATATAATTTTTATTCTTGTATTTAAAATTTTCATAAACTAAAGTGTTTGTTTTTTTTTTTATTTTTTGTTTTTGGGAAAAACTAGGACGTTTTTCATATACAAAATACCAAAGTCACAAAATAAATACCCTGTAAATGTATACTACATATAGCATAGTTAAAAAAAAAAAAAAAAAAAATTAAAAAAAACTTGTAATCCTTTCTTCTTTTTTGTTTGTTTCTGTAGCAATATTTGTTTGTAAATAATTTTTAAAAATTAAAAAAGAATAATAATATAATTGGTATCGAAAGAAACATTTATACGTAAAAAAAGAATTTATTTATTTTTTTTGTTATAGAGTTAAGTAAAGAAACATATATACGTAATATATTTAAAAAAAACATCTAAAAATAAAAAATTCTTGACAAAACTTAAAAGTGAAGGAAAAGTTAAAATTTCTCTTTTATTGAAAGCTTTTTAATAAGTTGTAATTACTTTTGCATCGAATCACTTGAAAGCAAAAACCAGATATACGTAAATTTTTGGCCGACTTTTTTAAGAAACATTTTTTTTTTGCATTAATTTCCAAGAAAAAAAAAAAATAAATAAACTAAAATCATTTGTAAAGATTTGTCAAGATTTTAATAGTTGACTCCTCCGCGCCCCCCTCCTCTATTCACATACCCAACAACACAATATTTATGATATAACTACAAGAAGAAAAAAAACAAAAAAATACAAAAAAAAACAAAAAAAGCAAAACGTTTAGTATCAATAAAATGTATTTGTAAACTTATTATTGCTAATAATAGAACTGTAAATAATCGAGTGTGAATTATATACTTTTTAGAATGTATTAAAAATAAAAACAAAACAAACAAAACAAAAAAAAAAATAAAAGCAAAAAAACAAAAAAAAAGAATAAAAAATATTATTAAAAAAAGAATTTATGTTTATTTCAAAGCATTTCATTAGTTCAGAGACACTGAAAAGCTATCGAAGCTTCTTGGGAATTTATAACCCGCAAGAAGAAAGAGAAAAAAAAACTCTACAATCGAAGGATAAGATTACACTAATTTTGTCAAATCATTCTTTACACCAACCATAAGCCTAAGAGAGATAAGATTTCAAGCTGAATGAAGTTTAGTTAGTGTGCCAGGCATCCTTTCAAGTCAATGTATAAAGGTGTGAGGTGGGCAAAATGCTAATAAACAACTCTGCGAGTTTTATGTGTGCTTAACAGGGGGATCTCCCGGACCGATATCAATCAGAGTACTCTCGTAGTAGGCATCAGCAACTACTTAATTTCAAAACAATTTGATGAGAGTAAGATTCTAAACCTATTCGCGACCTGCCTACATGCGCTTCCTGCAGGCTTAAGACATACTACAGAGAGTATTTATCCTTCGAAATCCGGACAGGAATTCCTCCACCCTTGGTTGCTTACACCATTGCTGGTCACAGTAACTTAAGTC